GCAATCATCACCACATTGGGAAGGGAAAAACGAGAGTGCTCTAAGGATCTCAAGAGGGATTTCCCACTTTCTCCTCCTGGGGACTCTCTAGGTTTTAAGGTTGCCTTGAATCCACCCCTTTCCCCACCAACTTCTTCAGCAGCCACAGCTGGAGTGGAGCCACAGCAACCTCCCCATCCGCATGGCCCTTCACTTGTGCCCCCACATCACCAGTTGGCCCTGGCCAGGGCCACCTCATGGCCTCAGATGAGTGAGATGACCTCAGGAGTTGCCTCCCTGGCTGCTCCAGACACTCTCCATGGGGTCTGTCCATGTTGCCCAGTCTACCCTTGCCCACATTTCAGCCACTCTCCCTTTCCTGGTAGGCCTCTGTTCCCCTCCTGGGACTTCAGCTCTCCATACACACACCATCCCAGGTCATCCCACACTTTTCCATCCTCCATTGACCCTCAGCTCACCAAGCTCCCACCCCTTCACCTCAGAATATTTGTTCCTTCCTCTAAATCTCCCGTTCTCTTCACCTCCTGCCCCAGACCCAAGGTGAAACTGCATTTCTCGGCCTCCATCCCTGCATGTAGAAGGCGTGGCAGGTGGAGAGAAATGTGGCCCTCCTTCCCCAGGAAGCAAAGCAGCTCCCACCAGCCCCATACAGGGGACTCCAGGTGGGATATTAAGAGGGGACAAGTCTCCAGCTGAAAGCTTGGCAGATGGATATCAAGTCATCTGCAGAAGCATAGCTGGAGGCATGTCCTCGCTGCCCCACTGGGCACCCAGAGGAGGTAACACGGCCAAATTCAACCCCAGTGAGCCCATGCTTGGGTGGCCAGGGCTCAAAGCTGACCCACAGCCCAGGGACTCAGGAGCCAAATTCAACTGAAACCTAAAAAGCAAAACCAAAATAATACACCTGGCCCTTCAGCATCTTCCTTTCATAGCACACATCTCCAGCAGACACACACCACAGCATCTCTGTGCAATGACGCACTCCTGCCTCAGCCCCAAGGATGTACAGTGAGGTCTTTCCTTGTTGGAATCGGCTGTAGCCTTGGCCTATATGGCTCTTTATGTATACTATATATAGCTTTCTACATTTTTCTAGCCCAACACCCAACACATCCATCCCCCGTTGCTATCTTGAGCTCTTGTGCAGCAGGACATAGGCGTTGTTCCCATTTTACACCCAGGAAAACTGAGGCACATGTGCCTGCTCACATCTAGTCAGGCAAAGCAGGGCAGAGCAAGGTCAGAGCTGGCTGGGCACCCAGGTGGATGCACTCTTGTCCCTTTGTGAGTTTGGCCAGAGGTGTCCCCAGGTTGTCCAGGCTCAGCTTTTCTGATGCACAGGGCCGTCTAGAGGATCCTTGGCACAGTAAGGAGTGACGTGGATTTTCTCAGAGTCAATGGAGAAACCCTTGCTTTGAGCAGAAAGTTGAAGAGCTTTCCTCCCTTCTGCTCCCCAGTGAGCTCCAGTAAAGCACTGGCCCATGCTGGGAACAGGCTTTTCTCTGCCACCAGTTGCTGTGGGGATCTGCACCAGCCCTGCTTGCAGTCCTTTCCCAGCATCAGGTTAGACAAGGTGAACATCCCAACTCCATGCTACAGCCTGGAAATCAAACATCATATACCTGGGGCTCACACTGGGCCTTTCTTCAGTTCTCCTTTAACAAAGGCAATTAACATTGAAACAGCACCGTGAGAAGAGATAAGCCAAGGTGTTTGCAGGCACCAGGCTGTGTTTGCATGTGCAAAGCTGAGATGGGGACAGCAGACACAAGCTGATAGCAAGTGATGGGAAAAGCAGAGATCCTTCCTCCCCAGCTGCATCCCCGTGGGGGAGTCTCACCCACACCCGGCACTGACTTGGGCAAACTCTTCTAACATTAATCCTCCTTCTCAACCTCTGCCAAGTGACACCAGGGGTTGCTTGGAGGGGCTGAGACACAGGCGGAGGAATGAGGAGCCTGATTTCCTGAGGAAGATGGATGGAAATATGAGCACTGAAATCTCCATCAGCATCCACCTGGGTCTGGGAACGTGCAGAGCCAAGGCTGCCATGCCTGGGAAGGACAGTGTTGCTATCTGGGGTGAGACGTGCAGTTCTGTAAAAGCCAGGTTAGGATTCAGTCTTTCCTGCCATTTCACACAGAGTTGAAACCCAAACTCTTGGTATTGCACTCAAAAAGGGTGGTTTGTTCACATGTGGATGCATAGCCTCTGCAGGCTCACTCTGGCCCACATATCCTTCTGCTTCCACTGCTGGGTCCCTTCCAGCCTCTCCATAATCCTTCCCCCAGGCAGCCAGATCTCTCCTGGCCTCCAGGAACCTTCTCATCCTCCTTATCCTCCTCCACGTGCCAGTGCTCAAAATCCTCCTTCACTCACATGAGAGCAATCCAGAGATGCTGCAGTCGTTTAAGCAACCCTGAAGAACAGCCGGTCCCAAACCCCATCCTGGGACTGTGAAAGGATTCAGGCAGTGTAACTCAATGGGAGTTGAGCATCTGGCCAAAAATGCACTCCCGCTGTGTGAAGAGGTACCCATGTTCACATCCATGGGGTCTTGGCTAGAAAAACCCAATCTGATTTCCAGCAGCAACCATAGGTAGAGTTAGACCATGCTCCCCAGGACAGAGAGCACCAGGGGTACAGTGGCCTTGCAGAGCTGTATCACGAGCTGAGGTTTCACACTGTCAAATACATTCTCATAATCCACTACCTCCCTTCCCAATATTTGATATAATACACAGATATCATACCCTTAGACTATGTTCCACCCCTGTAAAATATCCACAAATGTCCACAGAATGTCATAGAATCACAGAATCATTAAGGTTGGAAGAGACTTCTAAGATCATCAACTCCAACCATCAACCCAAAACCACCATTCCCACTAAACCATGTCCTGAAGTGCCATATCCACGCATTTATTGAACACCTCCAGGGATGGTGAATCCACAGTCTCCCTTGGCAGCCTCTTCAAGTGTTTGACAGTTCAATGTTCATTTACTTCATTTAGTTCATGACTTTGGGCTCTATCTGTTAGGGTGGAGGTGGACCTCCAGTCCTCCTCTTAGGATAGCAGTGGTGGTGTTTTGCATGGAGTTACTGGGCCCCAAAGCCAGCTCAGGTTGGATCACTGCTGCCCTTGCACTGCTTCTTCTAAGGCTTGTCCTCCACCAGTTCAGGTAGTTCCTGCTATAAATCCTATAATATGCAACTCAAAATCCCAAGTTAAAACACTTGAAAAGCACGTCCAACATAAATCCTATAATATGCAACTCAAAATCCCAGGTTAAAACACTTGAAAAGCATGTCCAATACAATGCACATTTCCAGCCCTGAAAACTGAAAAGAAAGCCTTAAAAATGAGCCTCATTCTTTAAATCAATCAATCAATAAACCCACATATTCCTCCCCAAAAAAACCCATTCGAAGCTCTTTTCCAGATTTTACAGAAAGTGCTCTTAAACATCACAGAGGAAAACAATGTTGAATGAGTATTTCAAAGCTAAATAAACACCAAACTCCGTGGGTCTGCAGGTGCAAGTCATTCAAAGCCCCTTGATCACCCCACATGGTGATCCCTCCCAGGGTAGAAATACCTGGACCCTTTGCCAGGTGCCTGCACAGAGAGGGGGCAGGAAAAGGGACCTTTCTAGGAGAAATCCCAGCTCTACCTGCTATAAAAAGCCCAAGAGGGAGTCAAGCAGGGTGTGCTCTCAGTGAGGTTGTTGTGGTGAGGAGCTCAGGGGGTTCAGAGCTGTGGTGAGTAGCTGTGGGGCTTGAGTTCGCTCTCTGACAGCCATGGTTGGCTCTTCCCAGCCCTGGAGGAGGATGAAGCTGGAGGTGGCTTTTATTTCCAGCTGGGGAAGGTGTCTTTCCCTTGACTGTGGTTTTCTTTGGGGGTGAAAGTGGCTGTGAGCTCTGGAGGATCATTGTGAGCCCTGGAGAAGGGGCTTCTGGGGGTGCAGAGCTCATGCTTAGAAGAGTCTCCAGAGCTGGGGTGGTCATGTAAGCCTGGTGTCTGCTTCTTCCTGGCCTGGGGAGGGCTACCCTGCTGAAATGTCTTATGTCCTGCCCCCATTTTGGCCTGCTCTCGAGGCAGGTCATGTCATTGCCCATAGTGCAGGGCTGCAGGAGGAGGGGATAGCAGCTGTACCAAGTCTGGTGGCCTCAGGTCACATTTAGACCATCTGATTTTATGATACTGGGAGAGGCATCATCTCTGTGGATTTGCTGAACACTCTGCATTCACGGAGGGTCAACCACCTGCTTGGAAAAAAGATATTTTTATATCTTTTCCTTCATATTTTATATCTCTGGTGCTCCCACTGGCTCCTGAATGTAGAGTGGTGCAGTGTGAGCTGGTGCATCTCCAAGGCAGTGCTTGTTCTTTGAATGCTGCCCTGGCCATGCCCGAATTTTGCAGCATCCCCATCCCTGGCCACAGGCCATTGACAGTGAAGAGACCAGTGCTCTCCCCAGCCTGCCCCATGGAGCTGGGTCCTG